AAACCATTTTAAACACATTTTCATTACGTTGCTCGTCCCCAACCGGTCCAGTTCACATCTACAGCAGCACCTAACACAGGCACGCAACCCATCTCTCAGCATGGAGAGGTCTGCAAGGTCATCAACAAATAGAAAAGAGAATTTGCCAAAACAATGACAAGCAGAAAAGGGGATTAGGAGACGAGATGGCATCCGATTCCATGGAGGATGGCAAGACGGTGAAGTTGGGGTTCGGCGATGGCGGCAGTAGCAGGGCTGGTGGCGACAATGGTGGCGGTGGGGTCGACGATGGCAGCGGCGGTAGCGACGCCAAGGTGCTGCACACATTCCATACTGAGTTTAATTTTGTGCATGTGCAAAGCTTGCTGGATCAGAACCGCATCCTCATCAGCGAGATCAACCAGAACCACGAGTTTCATGCAGGTGCCTGATGGCCTCTCCCGCAACATCGGCCTCATCAGGGAGCTGCAGCATCATCGACCTCTACGCTGATCTCCTTGCTCTTTGCTGCATCCGATGACAACCCGACCTAAACCAAATCAATCCATCCTAGGTGTTAATCCAAACCAAACTAGACCATTAGATTTCTCAGCCCATTTCCCACCATGCTAGCTCAACCCACAATAAAAACTAGACCATATAAACCGGTTTTTTGCCCAAACTGCTAGCAGCTTTACCGGTGGAGAACGACAAGAAGAGATTTGCCTCTTGATCAGCATGTTTCAGTTTCATGGCCATTTATGTCAGAAAAATTTGTGTCACACAAATCTCTGAAGGGCAATTTGTGTTGATTTATTTCAAATTCACCCACATGTGTTGTGTTTTGGGGCTTTTAAGAAACCAATTTCTTGGCTAGTAATACTGTTCTGGAATTGGTCTATTATGGCTGACCTAATTGAGCTGAATCCCCATTCATGAGTTTTTTTAGTAATCAGTTAATCTCTATTTCTAGATAACCAAATTTTCTAAAAGATCGAAGAACCAATCGGTTTGGTTAGACTGAATGCCCACCCCTATCACTAATCAGTTCCATTAGCTTTGTTGAAGTTATTGTAGACTGAATGGTAAAAATGAGGGACAACAGAAAAGTAGAGTGAGTGAAGGAGGTTGGGGTGAGAGATGATGGATTGAGAGAGAAATTTTCACTCTTTAATATTAGGTAGGTATAGATACAACAGATAGATATGCTCTTTAATATTAGGTATAGATATAGATATAGATATAGATATAGATATAGATATAGATATAGATATAGATATAGATATAGATATAGATATAGATATAGATATAGATATAGATATAGATATAGATATAGATATAGATATAGATTAGTGTAAGAATGAGGAACACTAGAAAAGTAGAGTGAGTGACGGATGTTGGGGGTGAGAGATGATGGACAGAGATAGAAATTTGTAACACCCTCGGTGTTACACTATAAATCATCTACTAAAACATGTCATGAGCATCATGTTTATGTGTTAATGCATGTAATATAGAGTGTAGATCAATTTCTATAACTTAAAAATGATAAATAGAAATGCATAACGAAAGTTATTTCCATAGTCATGTTATATCACTTAGGGTTGAAAACCAATTTTTATTAAGAAAAAATGCTATACAACATATATGTGATACTTGAATAAAGTTCGAAGTACAAACTTTGTAGATGACGATGAACTACCTGCGGTCGAAAAATGATATCACTAGCTAACATTCTAATAGCTTAGAAATCGAATTTGAAGCGAATCCAACCCAAGACTTAGTCGATTTCTTAAATCGGAAAATGGGTTGACAAAGCTAGGTTTGGTAATTTTTGTAGAAGAATTGGGTTAAGGAGTGGTGTTGCATTATGGCTTGTTTTAGTAGCCTCATATGCCCTCTTAGGTATAGCAACACTAGTTTGGATGTTGGGTCAACCGATTGAGTGAATTGGACGCTTTAAAAAGCACGCATGGCACGTTCTTGGTCGGGTTCCTCGCGTGGGCGCGGTCACCGTGCTCCTAAGCCATCGTTGGTGTCGGCCACGCTTGCACGCATGTCTGGCCGAGCTTGGCTAGCCACGGTGGTCGGTAGCCCTGGCTCACAGTTGTCCCTCCTCACTATCGCGGTGCGCGCTGCCACTGGCGCCGCTGTTGGTGCCTCTAGGGCCGCCTGCGTCACTCTATTGCTCGGCTCTGCTCCGCCAGACGCCATCGTCGTTTTCGCTCGGGGTACAGTGGCATCGCATGGCCGTAGCCTCTGTCGCCAGCATGCGCATGTTCCCTCCGCGCCATGTTGTCACATCAAGTGCACTGCGCGCGCAGGGCCACGACACCCCCACGTGCACCTGCTCCGCCTGGCATCTGCGTCCCGCCGAGGCGGCACAGTGTCCCTCTGCTCACCGTGCCACTATCGCTGCCGCCCTTGCTCTACCCGCACGTGTAGCCGTCCTCAGTCGCGCCTTGTCCTCTTCTATTAAGTGGCAAATGCCATGCCGTGCTTCCCAACCACCGCCGCCTTGAATGGCGTCGTGCTAGCCCGACCGTGCCGCGCCAAAGCAAATCGTAGCACTTGGTCACCTCTGGGGTAATTGCGCTCGCCTGAGGCTCAATTGGGAACCTAGCTACGCGCCAAGCCCACCCACTGCCATAGCTGTGCGATGCCGAGCTCCAATTTGGAGTTTTCCCCATCGCCGGTCATCTTATGGACGATTTCAAGCCACTCCAGAGCACCCCCTTCACTGAGCTTTAGCATCTAATTCTGTGGCACCGTTGTCTTCGCCTTGATTCCCTCTATCCCCTGCGCACCCCACTTGTACCGTCATTGCTTTTCCAGCACCGCTGACGTGGCCGCGCCACCACAGTCCGTCGCCGGGCTTGCCGTGTGCGCGTGCCCGGTCTGTCCCCGGTCAAGGCACCACCACAGGTAGCTGTGGGGTGAGTTTCTGATGCCCACCCTTTTGTTCTATCCCCGGTCACTCGGTCCGTCCCTGTCTGTGTCGGTTAAGGACCGGCCGTTGCATTGGGTTCTAGACAAGTCACAGATTTATTATCCTGAGTATATACTTGTTTATGGGAACATGAAAGACTTGTTGCTCTCTTGTCGTGGGTTCTGGCTCTTTCCAGACCGACTGATTAGAGGCAGGGATGGTGGAGGTCTAAGCACCACACTGAGTCCGGGACTCATGTGTGGGGGCTTGGAGTCCAAGTTTGGATGGGGACCTGGACCCCTTGACAGGAGAGTGGTGGACTGGTTCTGCTTGTGCCTGGGGTACAAGTAGGGCATGTGTTTTTCGGGGTACCCAGCTGGGCACATTGATTCACGAATCGCCGGGCGATCCGGTACGGCTTGTCTATAGTCTAGCACCGTAGTAAGAACTGAAAGATGAAAGATGGTGAAATGGATCTGTTTGCTCAACTCTTGCTTGAAAGTAGAACATGTACTTACCTAGAATGGCTAGATAATGAACTAATTATGACTACTAATAATAAACATGCATAAGGATTCGCTACTAATATTGCTTTCTGCAAAAAGGAAACCCAACAAACTATAAAGCTTATCATATCCTTTAGAGTCGAGAAATTATTCCCACTAGTCGGGTAAGTCTTGCGAGTACATTGTGTACTCAGGGTTTATTTACCCTGTTGCAGGTGCAGCTTAAGGATGGCTTTTGAGTGGATGATTCTTCTGGTGGGCACACATAGATCCTTGTATCTTAGCGATAGATGTTTATTTAATTTCGCTATTTCAATTCCGCACTCTGAATTTGGTTCTGTAATAATGTATTTCTAAGAACTCTGATTGTATGAAATGGATTAAGTTTTGTAAACTCGTTCTCATTATTGGACCCCGGAGGAAAAATATGGACTATTCGAGTTCTCCCTTGGAGTGTGCTCGACGGAATCCGTCCGATGTAGCTTGCTTTCGGGATGCTTAGTGTCTGGTGAAAGATGAGCACCCCCGAAGGTGTGCTATTTCGGATAGTTCTGCCATAAAATTTTTCCCTCTTTAATATTAGATAGATAGATAGATAGATAGACAGACAGAGGGACTAGACTAGCTGGAGGGCGATAGCTTTAGTTATTAGAATATTTATCTGGGTGTAGCTCTAGAGAGCATGGCATCGAGGCTGGACATGTTCAATTTATTCATTGAATAAAACAGGGAACTTCCTTTTTTCTAAAAAAAAAAGTCATGACAAAGGAGTCGTTGACTACAGAAGTCATACCATCACGTTACCCTGGGGAGCGAGGAAGACAAATGAATGATAACTAGATCAGCATCAGCCCACCCTTACTGAAAAAGAAATACTCCACCAACGTAGCTACCCATAAAAGATCCTTGTTCCATTATACATTTCTTAATTTTTTCTAACACAAGCAGGTAAAGAGCACCAAAATATTTGGATATTCCCAAAACGCTACGCATCATCCACTTCGAGAGTATATTCAATCCTGTTAACTCACAACCAACACAAAATAGCCTTTTGATCCCAGTAGGTTGTGGTAGACTAGAGATGAAATCACACAAGACACACAAATAGAGGGCGAAGTTAAATAAAAAGGTATTAGCAATAGTAATAGAAGTAATAAGCACACAGAACTGATAATATTTTTCCTTGCCTTCATAAAAAGACATGTTATGCATATTGAGGTACGGACGATCAAGGTTCAACTACTCCAATCCATTTCTAATTATTTATGCCCAAGCTGTAGGGAAGAAAAGTAGCTGTGTTGGAACGCCGGTGATCTCAACCACCGGGCTCCGGCGAGGTCACAGCGATCGTAGTCGCCGCGGTCACCACGAACAAGACGAGCACACACACACGTGAGAGTAAGAACAGAAGACGGTTTTTTCACACCACAACGCGCAGCGCTTGTTTGTTGCTTTTCATTGACTGATAAAGGATACACAACGGGCTCATGCCCGCTCACCCCGCCACCATCCACAGCTGCACGGTGCGCCGTTATTTCCGGAGCCCGTGCGACATGCACGGCGTGCGGCCATGGCGGGGAGTCTCCCTATGAAGCGGTCAGACCACAGAACGTGCAGTCTCCGTTCCTGATCCAATTCTACGCCAACCAAAATAGACATGTGTTCAAATGAAAAACAAACTATGCCTATCAATGCAACTATATGCTGATACACGTTGACACGATTACAGAATGAGCAAAGCAACATTTCACCCCCTAAATCGTGATCAACTCTGATTGTTCCCAGCCGCTGCCTCATCTCCACGAACCTGATCCTTCCAAGTGGTTTCGTCAGAATGTCTGCTAGCTGGTCATCAGTCCCAACGTGACTCACATCCACTGCACCATCAGCAATGCACTCTCTAATAAAATGATACCGAGTGTCTATATGCTTGCTCCTCTCATGGTATACTGGGTTTTTGCTCAATTCTAGTGCTGACTTGCTGTCAATACGAAGCTTGAATTTCTTCACAGCACTGCAAGTCAGATCAGCCAACAGCCTGCTCAACCAAACACCCTGACAAGCTCCAGTTGCAGCAGCTATATACTCATACTCACAAGATGATAATGAGACCACCTTCTGTTTCTGTGATGTCCAAGTAATTGGATTGCCACCAAGGAAGAAAACAACTCCAGTAGTACTTTTTCTCTTCTCAAGGTCTCCTGCATGATCATTGTCAGAATAGCCGAGCAATTCTGAGTTTTCCCCTTTGGTGTACTTACAACCGAAACCAGTTGTGCCTACAATATATCTGATGATTCTTTTGATGGCTGCCCAGTGATCAGCATTAGGTGACTCCATGAACCTGCTTACCATCCCAACTGAGTAGGCAATGTCAGGTCTAGTGTTCACCAAATACCTCAGGCTCCCAACCACACTTATGAATTTTGTTGCATTGACCACTGATTCAGGTTTCCCAGGCAGCAATTTTACATGCTGCTCCATTGGGGCATCCACTGGATTGCACCCTTTCATACCACAGATTTCAACAATTTTCTCTACATATGAGCTTTGACAGATGGTGATTTCTCCTGGTGGTTGTTTCACTTCCATGCCAAGATAGTAACTCAACAATCCTAGATCACTCATGTTGAAGCTGTTCATCATCTGTTGCTTGAAATCAACAATACTCTTACTGTTTGGCCCACAGATAATGAGGTCATCTACATACACCCCAACTAGCAACAAAGATGCACCTGTTCCTCTCCTGTAAACAGCATGCTCCTCCTCACTTCTCCTGAAGCCAAGCTTCACTAACTCTTGATCAAGCCTAGAATTCTAGGCCCTCGGTGCTTGTTTTAGGCCATACAAGGCCTTTTTCAATTTCAGTACTCTTCCTGCAGCACTGGAGCTAGCAAACGCTGGTGGATGATGTACATACACTTCTTCCATGAGATCTCCATTTAGAAAGGCAGATTTGACATCCATATGATGCACCTCCCACTCCCCTTGAGCAGCAAGAGCAAGCAAAAGCCTGACAGTCTCTAGTCTTGCTACAGGAGCAAAAACCTCATCATAATCCACCCCCTGGATCTGAGCATACCCTTTTGCCACAAGCCTGGCCTTGTGTTTTACCACATTTCTAGCTGGATCTCTTTTTACCTTGAAGACCCATTTTAGCCCAATGGCTTTGTGATTCCTTGGCAGTTCTGAAACTTCCCAAGTCTTGTTCTCGAGAATGGAGTCCAATTCATCTTGCATAGCCCTTTTCCAACAATCTTGTTCAAGGACTTCCTCTACACTTACTGGCTCATCAGCAGCCAGCATGCACACACCACTATATTCGAAATCGTGTATCATTTCAGTGGAGTCAAACAAGTCATTTAGACTTCTAAATCTCAGTGGTGCTCCCCAAGTTTCTTCAGAGGCATTAGTTGATGGTGTACCAGCTTGATTCTGACCTGTAGATGCACTTCCTAGAGTATTAATAGGATTTGGTGACAATTGATGGTCACCAGCACCTTGACTCACGCTGCCCGGATCACCCAATAAACCTTCATTGTCTGGATCTGCCTGCACTGTACCTATTGTCGGATTTTGGTCAATGTCTTCATACTGAACAATGAAAGTATCTGGATCGATGTGGCTATTTTCCGTGGCCTTGTTCCACTCCCAGGGAATATTTTGTCCAAATAATACATCTCTGTTGACTGTCAATCTATTAGTGTTTGGATCAAATAGCTTGTAGCCTTTAGTTCCAGATTCATAACCCAAAAACACCATTTTCCTTGACCTATCTGTCAGTTTTGTCAGTCCTGGACCAATCAACTTGACGTGTGCAGTACACCCAAATATTTTCAGGTGACCCACATTTGGTTTCTTGCCATGCCATGCCTCAAAAGGAGTCTTGTTCTTTAGGCTTCTCGTGGGTGATCTGTTCAAGACATATACTGCAGTTGCCACAGCTTCTGCCCAAAATTTTGAAGGAACAGACATGCTCTTCATCATGCACCTTGCCATCTCCACCACAGTTTGATTTCGATGCTCAACCACTCCATTTTGCTGAGGTGAATATGGAGTAGTTGTGTAATGCTTGATGCCTGACTCGGTACAAAAGGCAGAGAATAGATTGGACACAAACTCTCCTCCCCTATCTGTTCTAAGAGCTTTCAATTTACTTCCATGATCTACTTCAGCCCTGAGCTTGATTTTCTTGAAGTAGTCAAGTGCTTGATCTTTTGTCTTAAGAAATTCAACCCACATGTACCTACTGAAATCATCCACAACCAACAGAAAATATGAACAACCTCCTGATGTAATTGGGCATATCTAACCACACAAATCAGCATGAACTAATTCCAGGCCAGTGCAAGCTCTGAAATTTGATACTTGTGGAAAAGGTGTGCGGTGCTGTTTCCCTAGGGTGCACCCATCACACACTTGCTCAACATGTTCCACGGTTGGCATCCCCACCGCCATCTCCTTCCTGCCCAAATCCCTAAGGGCTCTAAAATTAAGATGGCCAAATCTAGCATGCCACTGCCATGCTTCATCATCATGTTTCATCATAAGACAGACTGGATTAACAAGCCCCAATTTGATTGTGTACAACCTATTTCCTGTTCTAGGTGCTGATATCAACAATGTGCCCTCTGGATCAAGCACATTTAGCCTCCCATTTTTTAGAGAAACCTCACACCCTTTCTCCTCCAATTGACCCAAACTGATGATATTGCTCTTAAGCTTAGGAATATAATACACATCAGTGAGTACCTTGTGCTGTTCATGATGCCCTTGCATCACCATGGACCCAATGTCGTGGATCTCGACGTGGGAGCCATCACCGAAACGCACTGTTCCTTGAGCTTTGTCGTCGAGGTACTGTAGCGCTGATTGAGTCCCCGTCATATGGTTGCTGGCTCTGGTGTCCAGCACCCACACTCCATCAGGGCACTCGATGGGCACCACGTTCTTCTCCGCCAGGTGGACGACCTGAGTGGACGCCTGCTCGACGCCGGCCACCGCCGCCATCAACAACACCGCCCCATGATCTCCCTGCATGGCTACATTCGCCTCAGGCTGCTTGGCCTCCTTCTTCTTCTTTTCTCTTTTCGGGCGCTTGCAATCCTCGGCCCAATGGCCATAGATATTGCAGTTGTGGCAGCACCCCTTCCACCGTGGCGTGCCCTCAAAGGTCAGTTTGCCTGATCCCGAGCCACCGCCATCAGAGTGCGCCACCGACTTGGCCTTCTAGTGACCGGCACTGCCGCTGGTGGCCCCGGTACTGCCGCCACCGGACCCGCTGCCGCCGCCATCCTTGCGATCTGCCTGGAAGTGATGTTTGTGCTTCTCAAGCCAATCCTCTTCGGCCAACAGCAACCGCCCAGCCTTGTCGGTGATCTGCTCGACCTTCTCTTCGAACCTCTCCTCAGCCGCCCGCAGATGCCCGATCAACTCCTCCACCATGAGTTTTTTCAGATCACAAAACATCTCGATCGAGATGACCACGCTGTGGAAACGAGGAGGCACCACATGCAGGAACTTTTTAATGATCCGCGTGTCCTCCAGCGTCTCACCCAGCGACTTGAGGTTGGCGGCGAGATTGGTGATGCACATGCCGAAGTCGTCGATCGTCTCCCCATCCTTGAACTGGATGTTCTCGAACTCCTTCATGAGCTTCTGGGCATTGACGTCCTTCACACGATCTGCACCTAAGCGCATCGTTTGCACCACCTCCCGTGCCTCCTTCACCATCTTGCGGCTTCCAAGAGTCTGCCACATCTCCTTCGGCACTGAGCTCAGGAGCGCGCTCATGGCTTGGCGATCTTGGGCGCGCTTGGGGTTTACCCCCAGATCAATCACCTCCCAAATCTCTAGAGTCTCGTAGATGCATTGCATCAACATTGCCCACTCCTAATAATTTGAGCGAGTCAACATTGGCCACAACAATGAGCTCTCCTTGACGTCGCCGGACGTGCTGCCTGATGCACCGTCGCCCATCTTCTTCTCTAGTGTCTTGCATGGGATCATGAACTTCTTCTTCGGTGGTTCATGCGGTGGGCTAACGGACCCACCGTAGAACATCAACCAGTTCTGATACTGTCAGGGACCTAAACCAGGGTACCCCAGAAGGTGGAACCAATAACCATCGAACGTTAAAAACTTCTCGACGGACAAGGGCGCCGCTGTGTTCCTTGCCCGAATGACAAAAGTTAGGTTCCATCTCGCCCAACGCCTTTGGGCCAGCCCCGCCTCACCCGAGGGCACAGGGCTGGTCTCCGTCTCGCCCGACGCCTTTTGGACCAACCCCGCCTCACCCGAGGGCAAAGGGCTGGCCTCCGTCTCGCCCGATGCCTTTGGGCCAGCCCCGCCTCGCCCGAGGGCAAAGGGCTGGCCTCCGTCTCGCCCGACGCCTTTGGGCCAGCCCCGCCTCACCCGAGGGCTGACGGTTAGTCTCTGCCACGCCCGAGGGCTGAGGGATACGCTCCGCCTCGCCCGACCCCCGAGGGGTGGGTTCGGTCATGCCCAAGGGATAAGGACTGGGCTCCGCCTCGCCCGACGACCGAGGATGAACCTCGCCCCGTTCGATGTCCAAAGGCTGGTTTTATCTTACCTGATAACTTCTCTCCCATTCCCTCATGATGATGGGTACAGTGCAAGACAAGACGTTCGGGTCAACCACAGCTTCAAGGACCATACCCTGTGCCCTGGTAGGAAAGGTACTGCCAGGGAATGACTGGACAGGTGCTTTAGACCCTCCTAGGTGCCGTAGAGCCCAAAAGGTATTGCAGGCGCGTACTCCTCGCCCTGTAGAGTTGTAGGCGCCGCCTTTAGTCTGGGACATGGGACCCGATGAAGATACACGACAACCACTACACTCCAGAAAAGGATTTGTAATCTCCACGAATGACGGACATGCCGTCACCATATTATGGACCCAAGGGAGCGGCGCCCGCTTCCCGACCCCTCGGGTCCACCAAATCGAAGGACCTTGCCCACAGCACTACTCCGGACCTCGACTCCGCGTCCCTCCGACAGAGACTCATAGAGCCAGAAAGCGTGCGGAGCAAGGCTAGGCGAGGTTCATAAGTCAAAACCACTGTACTCCAGCTCATACCCTACGTAGGGCACTATTCTGTAACCATCCTGACATTCTACAGAAGCATCGACAGTATTGTAGGCGCTTATCTTCCTTTCGCACCCATCAGAATGGGTAAAGAGGCTGGGTAGAAGTGAGCCACAAGGCTAGGTAGAGCACGGATCCTAAGCCCTGACCCTTGTAAAGCCGTCCCCTTCATCTATAAAAGGGGATGCGCTTCCTCCAACTGGGGGGACGAGAAAAAGAACGCAACAGACACACATAGTCAAGCTGCTACCAAGCTCTTGGCTTCCTTTCAACCCTTCCATCAGAGACTTGGGACCTGTCCCTCTCTTGATCGTTTGTATCCCCTACTACGAACCATTCACGGTGCTAATAACACGAGCAGCAACAAACTGGACGTAGGGATATTCAGCCCGAACCAGTATAAATCTTGTGTCCTTTAGCGCACCATCCGAGCCTAACGCGCATTACTATAAATTTACTTGCCGGTGCTTATACAAAACACCGACAGTTGGTGCGCTAGGTAGGGGGCTTGCACGTTCCAAACCAGGCGTCGGATGGCCACCCACGCAATCAGCTGGGCCCCGGGCGCACATGTGCGTTTCGGCGACCTAGATTTCATCGTCACACTAAGAGGAGAACTGGCGCTGACCCACACGGCCGCACAGCCTCTCCCTTCCATCAACCTCAGCCGTCTGAGGCTTGAGGGCCCGTGGGGTGACTCCCTTGGACCCCCGTTATCTAGGGAGCCCCCGCACAGCATCACCCTATTTCCGGAAGGCCCCGTACGAAGCGCCCCGACAGCGCTTCCATTCGGTCTCTACAACGCCGCGGCGACCGCCGGCCACCTTGTGTCACTACGCATGGTTCAGCCGCCTACGGACAGCGAGTTCGTGGGAGTAGTCAAACATGATCCGGAGACACTCTATGGGCTCCTCGTGGAGGAACCAGAATCGTCCTCCAGCTCCGACTCCAGCAAGGGGAGCCATCACCCTTCCCGGGAATGCTTCATGACGCAAACCCCCGAGGGACACGTCCAAAGCGTCTCCGGAGAAGAAACAACCTCAACAAGGCATGCCCAAAGGACCCGTTTCCTTTACCGCGCATTGACCAAATAGTTGATTCCACCTCAGGGTGCAAAACCCTCTGCTTCCTTGATGCATACTCCAGCTACCACCAGATCGCGATGAAAGAATCCGACCAGCTCGCGACATCTTTTATCACCCCCTTTGGATTGTTCTGCTACATTTCAATGTCGTTCAGTCTGAAGAACGCTGGGGCAACTTACCAGCGCTGTATGCTCAACTGCTTTGGGGACCTCATCGGGCGGACCGTTGAGGCCTACGTCAACGACATCGTAGTTAAATCCAAGCGGGCCGAACACCTTGTCGCCGACCTTGAGCAAACCTTTGCGAAACTCTGGGCGAACGGCATCAAACTCAATCCCGAAAAGTGTGTTTTTGGGGTCCCGAGGGGCATGCTGCTCGGCTTTATTGTCTCCGAACACGACATCGAAGCCAACCTAGAGAAAATCTCAGCCATCACAAAAATGGGCCCAATCCAAAACATAAAGGGGGTTCAGCGAATCACAGGATGCCTTGCAGCCCTCAGCCGATTCATTTCGTGCCTCGGTGAACGAGGAGTTCCCCTTTATCGACTCCTTAAGAAATCCGACCACTTTAAGTGGACAGTCGAGGCTCAGGAGGCACTTGACATGGTTAAACAATTCCTAACTAAACCGCCGGTCCTAGTCCCTCCGTACAATGGAGAATCCCTCTTGCTGTATATATCGGCCACCACGCAAGTGGTCAGCTCCGCCTTAGTAGTAGAGTGAGAGGAAGAGGGGCACGCCTTCAGGGTACAATGGCCTGTGTACTTCATCAGCGAGGTGCTATCCAACGCCAAAACCCGTTACCCCCAAATCTAGAAACTCCTCTACACCGTCCTCGTCACCAAGAGAAAGCTACGCCATTACTTCGAGTGACACCCTGTGACAGTCGTGACGTCTTTCCCCCTCAGCGAGATCGTCCGTAGCCAGGATGCTACAGGAAGAACCGCAAAGTGGGCGCTCGAGCTAATGGATCTGGGCATTACTTATGCCCCCCGAACAGCGATCAAATCCTAGGTGTTGGCTGACTTCATCGCAGAGTGGACCGAGTTCCAGATGCCACCAACAATCACCAATCAAGAGTACTGGACGATGTACTTCGACGGATCGCTGATGAAGAAGGGCGCCAGCGTGGGACTAGTCTTCGTATCTCCCCTCGGGGTCTGCATGAGGTACATGGTTCGGCTCCATTTTCCCTCATCAAACAATATCATAGAGTACGAAGCGCTCATCAATGGCCTACGAATCGCTATCGAGCTGGGCATCCGATGTCTCGATGTCAGAGGCGACTCCCAGCTGGTCGTCAACCAGGTCATGAAGGAGTCAAGCTACCACGACGCCAAGATGGAGGCATACTGCCAAGAAGTCCAATGGTTGGAGGACAGATTCGATGGCCTCGAGCTCAATCACATCCCAAGGTGCCTCAACAAAGCAGCCGACACGCTTGCGAAAGCAGCATCCGACCGAGAGCCAGTCCCAGCAGGCGTCTTCGCCAGCGATCAACGCAAACCCTTGGTATGCTACATGGGGTCGGAACAAGCCGGCGATGGCCCATCTAGTCCGACCCTAGGGGCCGATCCGCCAACTGCTCCACCCGACCCCAAGGTCATGGCGCTTGAAGAGGACCCGGCGGCACAGTCCGACCCTCCCAACGACTGGAGAATGCTTTACCTCGACTACCTCCTCCACGACATACTACCAGCAGACAAAACAGAAGCCCGACGGCTCGCACGATGCGCCAAGTCCTTCGTTCTTGTAGAAGGCGAACTCTACAAACAGAGTCACATCGAGATTCTGCAACTCTGTATCCCTGGCGAACAGGGAAAACTCCTGCTGGGTGACATCCACGGTGGAATCTGCGGTCATCATGCCGCACCAAGAACCTTGGTTAAGAATGCATTCCGACAAGGCTTCTACTGGCCCATAGCAGTAGCCGATGCCGAGCAAATTGTACGCACCTGCAAAGGGTGTCCGTACTACGCTCAGCAAACTCACCTCCTAGCCCAGGCACTCCAGATGATCCCCATCACGTGGCCCTTCGCGGTCTAGGGGCTCGACCTGGTTGGGCCACTCAAAAAGGCGCCCGGGGGCTTCACCCACCTGCTTGTCACCATAGACAAGTTTACAAAATGGATTGAAGCTCGACCAATATCCACGATCAAATCCGAGCAAGCTGTGCTATTCTTCCTCGACATCATCCATCGCTTTGGAGTACCGAACTCCATCATCACAGACAACGGCACGCAGTTCACCGGCAGGAAATTCATTTGATTCTACGATGAACAACACATCCAGATCAATTGGGCGGCCGTCGCACACCCCGGACAAACGGGCAGGTCGAGCGCGCAAACGGCATGCTCCTGCAAGGCCTTAAGCCGAGAATTTTCAACCGGTTGAACAAATTCG